CACCTTATCTCTAGTTTTTGTTCTTTTTCGTCCTTTTCTTTTTTCTTTCTTTTTTATTTTTTTTTCCTTTTTTTATTTGGTTTATCTTTTTCCCCAAAATATTTTTGCATTAGGGTGTTCTTGGTATGATTTTTTGAAAAATAGTTTTTGATTTTTTCATCTTTGGTTGGTTAAATATTTTTAAAAAATATTTTTTTTATCAACTCATTTTGCTCCAATTATAGAAAAATAATTTTCCTACCAAGAAAAGGAAAAACTACTTATTTTATTCATATTTGTGGTGTACAATAATGTGAGATAGTGGATAATAATATATGATTTTTTTTCATATATTGCTAATACATAAATTCCTATTTATCATTCTTTTCTACGTAAATATTAGTGCATTGATTCCGACATAACTTATTACCCATGCTAGTAATACATTGCTTGGTTCTAAATATTAAAACATGCAACTTATGCAGAGTTTAATACCTAAAACAAAAATGTTGCATAAACTATGCAAATATTCAATTAATAATACGAAGTTTTACATTGAAAATCAAATGGTTTACAAGTAATTCATTAACTATATGTGAATATTAATCTTTCATCATTCAACCCAAATAATCTAAAGTTGATTTAGTGTGACAAATTACTTGATAGAAAACGTCTTGTTGAATTTTAACTATAACTTTGCTGGATTTGGACCCATTTCGTTGCAATTTTCCCTAATTAAGACTAAATATTATTTGAGTTGGGTTTTCAAGAACAAATTAAAATTGAAGATAAAGCCATAGATAGATCATATGGATAATATGGATATCTATTTTATCCGTTGCTTAATTCGTTTTTTATCTATATTAAATATGGTTGGGTCGAAATTTATCATTTTTCGTAGAAATTGTATGGGGCGCCCTATTTAGGGTGCCCCTTTTTAACTTGTACCTGTTTTTTTTCATTTGTATCTGTACCCGTTTTTTTATTAAAATCTTTTTTAATAGACGATTTTGCCCTTCTTTAGTTAAAGACTATAGATAAAACTGTAGACTGCAGGACAAAACATCAACATGTTTTGGTATGAAGTATTAGCAAATGAATTAAATACCTTCAGCATGCATTAGCAAAAACTCATTAGAAAATTACATACTGCGAGACAAAAACTTAAGCATATTTAGTATGAAGTTTTAGCAAATGAACTAAAAAACTTCAGCTTGTTTAAACTGAAGTTTCTGATAAAACTCATGACAAAACTGTCCACCGCAGGACAAAACTTCAGCATGTTTTGGTATGAAATTTTAGCAAATGAACTAAATAACTTCAGTATGCATTAGCAAAAACTCATTAGAAAATTACATACTGCGAGACAAAAACTTAAGCATATTTAGTATGAAGTTTTAGCAAATGAACTAAATAACTTCAGTATGCATTAGCAAAAACTCATTAGAAAATTACATATTGTAGAACAAAAACTTAAGTGTGTTTAGTCTGAAGTTTTATCAAATGAACAAAAAAACTTCAGCAGGTTTAGACTGAAGTTTCAGATAAAAATCATGACAAAACTTTAGACTTGAGGATAAATAACTTCAACATGCATTAGCATGAAGTTTTAGCTTCAGTGTGAAACAACTTTATGCGAATAGGTTCAATGTGAAAAAACTTCATGCTACATTAGCATGAAGTTTTAGCTTCAATGTGAAACAACTTCATGCTACATTAGCATGAAGTTTTAGCTACAACGTGAAAGAACTTTATTTTTATTTTTATAAAGCTATTGAGAGGAGAGGAAGAGATCTTTTTTCACGAATGAGGTTGCAGATCACGCGATTTAATTTATTGTCAGGGATATAATTGTCATATTATTACAAATTTTTTATCAGCTAGCTACCAAATCAATAACTTTTAAAAATATGATGTAGATTAAAAGGTGGCACAAATATATGGGCTACGATTGCATTTCCCTTTTTTCTTAACCGTTTTTTAGCCCAAATCCAATCCGACTCGCCCCATTTCCCACCTCCAATTATGAACATATAATGTGGTCCAAAGCATTCCCTTCCGGACGCCCCGATTGTGACCGTCACTTCTGGCATGTGAAATAGGCTCAGGAGTTAAATATTAATTTTTCAAATGTCCAAGCAGACAGTAAATAAATAATCAGTGACAAAATCAAGTAGAAAGACTTATGGATGTACATGGAACGGGTTGGTTTGATTTTTATTAAAACCAACCAAATTACTTTTATCAATTCGGATTGGTTTGATTTTGTCGAATTTTTGGGTTTTTTTCTAACTTGAATAATATGTCAATCTTACTTTGTTAAATCTTTTATAAGTAAATATATATTTAATAAAAAAAAAAATTCAAACATATGAACTATTAAAATATTCTTATGGGAGAATTTTCTTAGTAACACGCGATAGTTATTTTTTTGTCTGACAATAAATTTTTGTTGATGTACGCTTTCAAAGTTAACCGAATTCAATAATTAAACATAAAAAATCAATATGATACCTAAATAATGTAGGTGTCGCACCTCCTTTTCACCGCGCCCGCGGGGCGCGTGGGGAGTTTTCTCCAATTGAAGGACAGTCGAAACGGGATTTGTTTATTTGTTTTAGAGTCGCCACCTGGGAATTTAAAGGCGTCCCAAGTCACCAATTATAATCCCTGAATCGAGGAGAATATGACTCTGTTTATTATTCTGCGAACCAGAAATCCTGAGTAAGGAATTCTGTTAATTCGGAAGAAGGTGTTAGGCATTTTCGAATTCCGTGGTTCTAGCACGGTCGCTTAACTGTTTTTTATTATTGGCTTAATTATCTTGATTTTTATTAAATACTTTTTGTTACGTGATTTTTCTACCGCTTTTACTTATTTTGGTTATGAACCCTTCTTTGAATCGAATTACGCGTACGTATATTCGTGTTCTAAAAAAAATGCGGAATTGTGTCACGCGTACATGTACACAATAACTTTTGATAATATATTTATTGAGCAATCATTTTTCGAAATTGTGTCGAATCAAGAATATTTGTTTTTTCTTGAATAGCGAACCGTACATCTCGGTTTTTTATGAAATTGATTTAACACCTTTGGAAAAATCCTTTTATTAAATATTCTTTCGAAATTGCGCGTACGCATAGTCCGAATTTTTGCTTTTAAAAATATAAGCAGGGTACGCGAACGTATCCCTAATTGCGCGACATATTTGTAATGATATTAGGGATTTTTCCATAAATTGTTTTATTATATTATTAGAAATCTTCATTTAAGATATCCTTAATTCTTGGAAAAGAATTCACAATTTATTGAATGTTGCCCATTGATTACAATTTCCGCATATAACATGTTTATCCAAGATTATTCAAATTCAAAATAAAGAATAAGGAAATGATTAATACCATTCTTCACAAATACAATATACATATATACATATATCAAAGAATGATGGACATATGAAACTCACAAGATAATTTATGAATGGAAGAAGTATTTTTTTGACAATTTTTATTTATTTCTTATTTAGTGCAAATTCTATTTCTACTTACCATTGATACAAGTATTGCAATTTATGCTTTATACACCTCATTTTATTCTCATATATTTGCTTTTAATCTAATTGGCCTAACTATTTGGTTAATTTATTTTATAAAGGTAGATAGGCATTCGAGTTTATAGGAAAGGAATTATTATACAAGCCAATTTCAATAAAATTACCTTACATGCAACTTAGTTGTATGTCGTAAACCTTCATAATGTTTTAGATATCGTAACAAGCTATATCATGTCACCTTTCACCAAAGTTTATACACACATCTATTATCTTTATAAACAGGTACCATCAATACCATCTAAACCTTATTTAACAACAAGAGTTAGTAATATAGTTTTCTTGATAATTCTACATTACTCTTTATTTAACTAACAACACCATAAAATTTAAATAATGACCACTTTATGCCATGTTTCCTACCTAGACAATCTTAATCACAACTATACTTTAATGAAAGTTTTAAAAAAAATTAACCTTGTTACAACACTTATACAGTCTTCAATAAAAGATAAATTAGCTTACAGTCATTCTATCAACATATACTTACTTATTCGATCCAGAAACGAAAATGAGTTTTTAATTAAAGAACTCAAAGATATTATTACAATTCAATCTTCATTTATTCGTCTTCTTTCCCACATAGAATTTAAAAGGATATGTACCTGGAAATGGAGGTAGAAGAAGTAAGTTTCAGCAGTTGCAGCAGTAACAAATTCAACAGAATAGCAATATTTTCACAGATTTGAGTGATAATACGACCCGAGGAAGCCAGATGCACAATACAGTATTTTAAAAGACACTTCAGATTTTAACTGAACAATGGAATCACATAAAGTTGAACAGATTCAACAAAAGAACAACATTTCAGATTTCAGTTTCTTTTCAATTTCAAATTCCTATTTTTTCTGATTTTTCTGTTTCTGCTGCTGTATCTGTGTGTGAGTGTGTATGTGAGTGTTTTATTTTCTGTTTCCTTTCTTTCTATCTTCTCAGATTTCTGTTTTTCTCTCAAAATCTGCCCTTTTTCAGATTTTTCTCCTCTAAAAATCTCACTTCCAGTCTCTCTTAAAATTATCTCTTTTTCTAAAAACCCCTCCTTTAAGGTCTGTCCAGCTCCTGTATTTATACATGGCTGGTTCTATACCAATTAGTATTGGAGGGACCCTTTATCCCTTTAAAAATCAGAAAGTTTCCATTAAAAACTTCTTTTTCATACTTTATGTGATCCTAACATGATTTTCAACAGCCCCATTATCCCTTGTTCCCCCTTTATTACTTAAATATAGCCATTAATATTACATTATAATACACTAGCACTAACACCCTGTTTTTACTGTTTCATTCTCAGAAATGCCCCTGCCCTACTGTTATTACTTGAAAAATCAGAACCCACTGTAAAACAGATTCTACAATCTGTATAGACTTAACTATCTTTCTGATTTACAGCTATAACCAATCCTATGATTTTGAGACAGTATATTACATTTCTAATAACTGATTGACAAANCCTGTTTTTTACTGTTTCATTCCCAGAAATGCCCCTGACCTACTGTTATTACTTGAAAAATCAGAACCCACTGTAAAACAGATTCTACAATCTGTATAGACTTAACTATCTTTCTGATTTACAGCTATAACCAATCCTATGATTTTGAGACAGTATATTACATTTCTAATAACTGATTGACAAAAAACTGAATTTAAACAGGGAATTCTCAACTGAATAAAAAACAACCTTAACATTATACAGAACATGCAGGATTATTTCAACTGGAATTCAAAACTGAATTAAAAGCAAACAAATACAGGAGCATTGTCAATATACTGACAATGTCCCGTTTAGAAAACAACAATACAACATACATTTGAATTCACTGATTCACAAACAAACATGATTTAATTGACGAATACTAATCAATTGACTATTTACAACATTTGTCAATAATTAGTCTAAACAATAGAAGCAGACTGTTAAATGCATTTGTAATTTTATTTAAATTAACTTAATTAAATGCATACTTAAATCCTAGATATGCATGAAACATGTATTTTTATTTTTATTTTGTTTAATTATAACAAAGCAAACATTTTACGGACATAAACAAATATTTAACACCACGCAAATTCAGAAATTACACAGTAAAAGAAATTTATTTTGATTTATTTTGGAGCAGTTTTTCGTAAGGCAAAAATCACGTGCTCACAGTAGGTACTATTTAGTTTTCAATATAGAAATACCAATTCAAATTCGAAAAAAATATAAGAATATAATATATCTTGACATATGAAGACAAAAAACAAAGAGAATAACACATTTCAATAACACTTGATAAGAAAGTGATCATACAACACATTATATAAAGTTAATAAAAATGAAGCAGTTTTATTTTCTATTAAATATTATATCCCATTAGGAAATTCCAAATACTTTTAGACATTTATAATTTTTTTTATATAAAGTCTTAAAAGTATATAAAAAAATTATATATTTATATGTTATTTTTTGTTCGGATTTTTTTACTCAATACAAACCAAATAAACAAAAAAGTTCTTTGTATTTTTTAATCATTTCGATTTGACTTTTCAGTTCGGTGCAGTTTCCAGTTCGGTTTGTCCAAGGCATGGAGGACTGCTTAAGTTGCCTCTCATTATATACTCCAGTAATTAATAAAATGATACAGTATAAATAAACTAACTGTTTCAGTTTCTGTATTTTTTGGGGGGTAAATTGGTTAGAGAATGTGATATTAAAAAAAAATACTTTTTTTGTCACAATACAAAGTTGGTGTATACCGGAAAAAATGGAGTAAAATCAGCACAAGGCCATCCCTGGTTGCAAAATTGACACGTATCGTGCCACAGCACGGCAATCCTGAATCAAACAATAACAACAACAACGACTCAGTATAATCTCACAAGTGGGGTCTAGGGAGGGTAATATGTACGCAGACCTTACCCCTACCCCGAAGGGTAGAGAGGCTGTTTCCAGGAGACCCTCGGCTCAAAAAAGTAACAGGAGCCGATATATTAGTACCATAAAAATGCATAATAAAATACCAGCAATATAAGAGATATGAAATACAGAATACGAAATACGAAATAGATGGCTGGTATAGTACAACTAGCAGGTAAAGCCCTGCATCAATAGACGACCAATGACATTTTTAGTCTAACTCCTAACTGGCTAATCTCACTCTATTGTGCTGTAGAAATATTCACAAGTTTCCCCTAACCTACAACCTTAATGCTCGACCTCCATAATTCCCTGTCAAGGG